TAAAACATAAGTGAATCCTGCGATTAGACACTGTTTTCTCAATTTGACCAAACATTTGCTTCCTAAGAGCCTAGGAGCAATGTGGAGAGGGGATTCCTTGCATCTTAAATGAAGTTCTCCTTTCCTTTCTATTGCCCTAGAAACCCACTTAGCTCAGGAGTGGGATCTCACAAGCAAGTAATTCTCCATCTCAYTGRTCATGGCTCTGCTGCTGTCATTGGCTCACAGMCCCATCATTATAATTCTCTCCTCCTGGACTCTAGAGAGATGTTCAAATTGACTTTCACAGATTGCAGGGTTTGGTAATGCTTTGACCTCTCAAGTACCCAGAGGATCCATAATTGGCTCTGCCGAAATATTTTCCAAGGCAACAACAAAAGTCCTCTGCTTACTCCCACTTGGTGCCCACAAACATAATTAGTGGCTAGCTTTATAAAATCACTTAATGTGGGAGTAAAAGTATGTCCAGGCTACAGTTTAGGATGAAAGTTGAGCAATACAATTTTGCAAACTTCTTTATAAGTTTTTTTGTTTGTTTGTTTGTTTGTCATTGTTTTTATAATTATGACCTTGAGAGCATGGCTTAGGATATGGGTCAGAGATCAGAGAAAATATTTTTCTCTGATACATGAATGGTRTCAAATGTATGGTTGCTCTGAAGGTTGGATCTGCCAGTGATCAAGACTGTGTCTGAGTGTGCTGGAGATTATGCATTTTTATCAGTGACTGATGAAATTTAGATGGCAGCATTCCCAGCTACCAAAGATTCATAATTTAATAGTTATGGGAATCTCAATTTATTTCAAGGAAATCTCATTGATGACACATTTTCATGGTTATTTGAAATAGAGAATAATAAATCTTAGACTTACAGGCTCTGTGTTTCCAACAGTAGCTATTGAGAATGTCACAGTTACTTGAACACTGTGGATAAAGACACACAGAGAACTCTGGAAAGGAGACCACACCAGTATCTTATCCCTTGCAGCTTCTGAAGTGATGAAGAATGATGAAAAAATATTTAAAATGCAATGAAATTCCAAGAAAACTAAAATTATAGTACAAATTTTAATATATTATTAATTTTATAGAAATAAAACAATTTCCATAATTAAAACTTGATATTTGTTGAAGAAACCCTCTGAACTGTTCTTTTCAGAAGTTTTAGTTTCAGAATTTTTTTAGTTTTGGTTAAGTTAATCATGGCTCTGTCTGTATTTCTTGAGTTTGAATATTTGAGATACTTTATATGAATGGAAAAATGAGGTATTTGATCCCCTGTAACTTTTTTTTTCATCTTATATGGTATATTCAATATTTATCTGTCCAGTTTCATATGACAGGGCTTCATTGTTTTCTAAGACTTAATAACATTCCATTGAATGTATATCCCACAATTTATTTATCCACTCATCTGTACCAGAATGTTAAAAATTTCCACCTCTTTAATCATGCTACAATCATAAACACACTGACCACAAATATTTCTTATGTTTTTTATGTCGATTCTTTTGTTTTATGGAGGTTTTCTGCCCTGTGTCCTTTTAGGGCACTGCAGAAGGAACTGTGGGATACTTAACCAATGAGCAACAGGCTCAGCCCTTTTTTACTTTTCTTTTTGAGTCAGGGTCTCACTAAATTGCTTGGGGCCAGGCTAAGTTGCTGAGGCTGGCCTTGAACCTGTGATCTTCTGCCTCAGCCTCCCCAGTTGCTGGGATCACAGATGTGCACCACCATGTCTTGCTTGTCTTTAATTTTGAAATAATTTTAGACTTTAAGAAAGTTGCAATCTGATTGTAATTTTTTGTATAAATGCTCAGAATTGAAGTTTGTGCATCAAATAGTTTGATTTTTAAAGCAGTTAAAGGATCTTTTTTTCTGTTTTCCATGGCAGCTGACTCATTTCCACCAGTGTTTTAGGGACAGACGAGGCAAGGCACTGAAGAGAGCAGGAAACAGTTTTATTTGGCAGCAGCCAGGTTCAGAGAGAACAGCTTTTGCTGTAATCAACTAATCCCTTGAACCCCGAGTTCAGGTGGTTTCAGAACTTTATACCCAGCAAGTATGGGGAGGAGCTCAAAAGTTCACATTCTGCAGAAGTTCACACATAAAAGCAGCTTTTCTCTTTCACTGTTCTGGGAAAGTTAACCCTTCAAGGACAACACCTGAGAAGGGGAGAGCTTCTTCTCCCATTTCTTTCCTTCCCCTGCCAGCTCTCTGTTATCAGAGAGCCCAATTGATAACGCCTCTTATCTTGGAAATGTAGACATCTCTATGAAGCTGTAGCTCAAAGCCGGAGGCCTTGCTAAAGGATCTGTCTTTTTTGTTTTTTTAAATCACATTTTGCATTTGCAAACACACTTTTACAAACTACCATACTGCATAAATGTTTATGGAAAACTAGTAGAGGGGCATTCAACACCTGGAGTACTGATGTCTTCCAGCCAGTGGCCAAGTAAAATAGAGCAACAGGAAGATATGAAGTTTACCTACATTGAACTCTTTTGTAGATACTCTTTTGATGATAGTCCTAAAGTCAATTATGGTGAAGACTTCTGGAGAAGCTTAGCTAAGATTTTCTGTAGAGGAGGGAGTGTCATTATACCAGCAGTGTCCACAGATGCTGGGAACAGGCCTGAGGCTGAATCTAAGTTTTTAAAGTGATGTTTATGAGATGTCAAAGGGAGTAGAAAAT